ACGTGCGGTTAGCCTCGAGGAAAGGGTGTGTGTTTGTGTGTAGGGAATGTTGGATCTGAACTTATACAACCTTTAATTATCATATAATACATGATTTTGTATATTGATTTTGCCAATAATACAATTTATTTGGACTTCTTGTGTCCTTTTTATTTGTGCACAATTATTATCTATGCAAATAGCAAACATATAGCTTTAACGCAACCAATACGCTGAATTTTGTTACAAATGTGACCAAAAGCACCTGTCGCCACCCAACACAAAATATACTGTATATACTAAACCAAAAGTTAAACTGAAAAAAAAAAGACTTCAAATTTTATCGATTGAATTTTGATAAGTTGATATTGGTTCTCACACTTGTCATAGTTATTGCATTTTAAGTTTGTACGAAGAAATCGTAAACTTTGATCTGTCTGTAACAAAGTTTCACCCCAATATAAGTAGCTCCATACGAATGAACTGATTCGATTATAAATCTTGTTCGCAGCGAACATTTAGTATTGCTGTAAACGGATCTTTATCATTATCAATATCTATCCTGTTTATATAACCTCACCCTGACTGGACAGGCCAAATAGTCAATGAAAGGACAGACAAATTATTTTGGGTTGTAGATGTCAGAATGAGAAGTTTTTGTCATTTTGGACTCAGGAAGAACTCTTATATCCCAAAAGATGAAGGAAATTTTAATTCCTCATGAGAGGAGCCCTTTAAATTCTCCTCTTCCTCCCTCTTGTTTTCCACCCCCCTCTCTCTCTCTCGTTGGCTGACAGAGAGAGCTGGATCAGCACCAGCGGCGACCAGTAGAGGAGTGTGATAGAGTACTAGCGCAGGTTGCTGCAGGAGAGGATGGCAGAGGAATGGATCTCTCCCGGACCAGCACCCAGTGCGACCACTCCAGCCCAGCCCAGAGCAGCCCTGACTCAGCCACGCCACCAAATCCAGCCCCAGGCTCTGGTCCCGCTTCACAGAGAAGGCCCCAAAAGGACGCAACCAGCCCCACAGCTGCATTTCCTCCACAGGTACGAGTATTCGCTCTCTCTCTTCTTCAAACACTCTCTATGGTCTGCTGGCCAGGGCACTGCAGAGCGGTCATAGTGTGTGTGTGCGTGAGTGAAAAGACTGCTAAGCAACCATTATTATTCTAAACAGAATGAGGGATGTCAGTCCTGTTGAGCATAACCATTGTCTTTTTTCTGTTCTCATTAGTAGGTGATTGTTTATTTGTCTTCCAGTGTGCTTGAGCAGAATTTATGCCCTCGCACAAAAACATGGGCCATCAGCCTCGTAACTCTCCTTGAAAAACAACAACACACTGCAGCTTGTCTTTATAAATACCTACTGTGTTGGTACAATGGTAAATTGAGGGTTTCAATACAATGGTGCTCCAAGGTGCTTGGTAGGTGTCCAAAAAACATTCTGGTACCACTGAACATGGTTTTACCATTGTACATGTCTCAAAACACATGATATTACCATTGAACATCATCTCCTGAAAAACATGGTAACACCATAGTACACGTCCAAAAACATGGTATTAACATGATACCTTTCAAAAACATGGCAGTACAATGGCACCATGTCCAAAAACATGGTATTTTTCTTATTTCAGATTGAATAAGACTATATGTTGTTTTTGGAACAAGCTAGTTGGAAAACATGCATATAATTTTCCATTTCTTTGGAACTGAGCAGTCATTCTTATCAGATGGAGACTAAAGTGATTCCTAGACTGTGATATACATCTCAGACCACAAGAGCATCAATTCAGTTTTCTTTAATGTGATCTATTGTGTTACCAGTGCTAACTGACGTTCCGTTTAGCACATAACTTTATTTTGGGATGTAAGTCATGGATAATTAAAACAATATGCCAGAGAGGCTATGCATTAAAGTAATTTTACCTAAGGCACAGTGTGATAAAACCTCAATGGTAAGCAATATGAAAAAGGCTCAAAACTGTATTAAGATTTATTGTACTCTGTGGTATTCTTATGTACACACTGCATGTGTTGTGTTTTTTGTGTAGGTGAGAGCAGGTGATGAGGCCCTGAAAGAGGCACGAGCCGAGCTCACAGAGGCCCGAAAGAGATGGCACCGTCTACAGGTGGAAATTGAATCTCTACATGCCTTGGTGCGTTCGGTTCCCACAGACATGCCCACAGATACACCCAGATACACACACTCCAATTCAGGAACATGTAGACACACCTAAACACACACACACTCCTGAACCCATTTCACCTTAATGCACAATACACAAATTAGAATATCACTTACTGATGCATAACGCATATGCACACCTTAATTCCTGCCAGAACACGCCAGATCTGAAACCGGCACTTCCAGAATCTGATTCAACCTCCATTTTTGTGAATTAAACAACTTGTTTGCAATGTAGATTAAGTGTTAAACATATACCAACACTTCGCCTCCAGGAAATGGATGACAGATCCCTGCCAGATTTGTCATCACTCCTTGTTCTAGGACCTCATAATTTATAAATCAAATACTGCGGATAACCACAAATTGTTACTGAATACTAGTTTTGTTGTTAAATATTTTGGTTAGTTATCTGAAGGTTGTGGGCTCAAACCCCATTGAAGGTGCCATGTTATACAAGTTGAGCCCTGGGAATTTAATCCATGTCCTTAGTGTTGGTAGAGCCATCTTCTACCACTTGATCCACAGTTCATGAACAGTAGAATTATTGGGATTTCCAGTGACCACTGTGTCCTTGCTCAAGATACATTACGGTGGTGGTGTCGTGGTTAAAACTCAAGGCTGTTAATCAGATGGTTGCTAGTTTGATGCCCCACAAGGCATGATCCATATGCCACTACTGTGCCCTTGAGCCAACCTCTTAATCTCAGATTTAACCGGAAGTTTATTTTCAGTTTCTGGAATATTGTTGCTTTGATCTCTGTAATGTAAAATCCTTGAGTCATCACCATTGTGCCGCGGTTTTCAACTCCAGGTTCCTTCAGGGGGATTGACAATAACAGAAAGGTTAGTGGATCAAACAATGCAAGATGCAATTTATGAGCCATCATCATTGTGCCCTTGAGCAAGGCACCTAATCCCAGCTGGTCCAGGGGGACTGACCCTGTAAAACATGATGGCATTGTATGGATAAAGTGGCACTGGCACTAAAGTGACTTAACTTAAATGGGAGATGCCTTGCTTGTGTTGCTTGACCCTGTAATATTTTGGTCACTGTTCACAATTTCCGACCACCCTATTCCATTCCACCAACCCTGAAGATCCATCCATTCATTAAGCCATTCTCCAAGCAGATTGTCCTACAAAGGGACACGGGGATACCGGAGCCTATCCCAGTGTCTCGGGGTGTAGGCTGGTAAAAGGGGTGTAGATGTTGGTAATAAATAACTATTCTGTTTTATCCCACCAGGAGAGGAGTCTCCATAGCTCTCTACACCACACTCAGCTCCAGTACTCAGTGCAGCTCAAGGATCTGTCCCGGTCTGTCAGGAGTCTGGAGTCTGAGCTAGAAACTGTGCGGGACGGTCTGGAAGTCCAGAAACAGAACCATACCCAGCTCCTCAACACCAAGATGAGGCTGGAGAGAGAGATCGCAACCTATAGGAAACTCCTGGAACATGAGGAGGGCAGGTAGGGGAGAGATAGATTTGCTGAGCTGTATTCGTTTATGCAATAAAACCGTTAGCACATGCTCAAACGTGTATGATGTCTTTCATGCAACTCCAATGTAATACACTGGAATTTTGACAGGGTTTTTGGAATTGTGCCCTTGATGTTATAAAAAGTCAATCAACCCAAAGAGGTTTCTAAGGCACCAATAAAGTCGAGTGTGGTCTTGAATCAAAACTGCTTCTTCTTTCACTCCTGAACCACAGGTTTCTGAACTCAGATGGTCGGCCTCTAAAGCTGAAGCCATGGAAGGGCTCAGTTCCTGCTCCAGAGCAGAACGGCCTGCCCAACGGATATGACGAGGATATCGCCAAGCCGTTCTTCACTGAGATGACTCCAAAAATAAGCATAAGTGAGGATGATGTCAAAACACCCTCAAACTCAACTGTCCAACCTAAAACAGGCCCTGGAATGCATCTTGTTTCAGATTTCCAGAGTCATTCTCAACAACTGGTTCATTATACAACTGCGAGGCTGAGAGATGTTGTGTTTGTGTTTCTCATCCAGAACCAGTCATAAACAAAGATGGGGAGATCTGTACTGTGAAGACTCAGGAGATTCTGGAAGGAAATGTAGTGAGGGAGAGTGCTGAGGGTCACGGAAATGTGGGGTGAGTTTACATATACTTATTTTCAAGCTGCAATGAAGAACCATAAGCACTTCACACCTTAAGGACAAAGATCTTGACGTGTTTGTTCTTGCGTGTGGCTTCACAGGCAATAAAATTGTGATGGAACTTTTAAATCATCATTTATTTGCACCAGAGATTGTGTAATCCTAATTTTTATGCTTATTACTTTGCTTTTTTGTGCTATAGGACAGAGAAGATTGACAAGGTCATCAGGCAATGGGAAGGGTCATTCTTTAAAGGAAATCCCAAGCTGAGGAAGAAATCTGTGTCTCTGCGTTTCAACCTTCATATGGCTGTAGCAGATGAAGGTTGCAGCCAGATAAAACAGGACAGTCTCCCTAACGTGGAGGTCCGTCTGGTCATGAGACGGTCTCGCAGCATACCCACTTTTGCTCCGTGTAATGCTACTACATCACAACTGTGACCTCACAATGCTACTGCATTACAGTTGAGTAGTGGTGACCACGTCTCAATGTCTCGGCGGCTAATAAAAGCAAATCACTTTAGTGACGTCATAGAACTTTTGCCATTTGAAAGAAAAAAGCGTCACATCATCAGTAAAGCGTTCAAAAACAAAAAAACTCAAATAGCTTTTATGATTGTAATGAACTCATGCAGATAAAGCTACTTAAAGAAATGAACATGAGGAGGGCAGGTAGGGGAGAGATAGATTTGCTGAGCTGTATTCGTTTATGCAATAAAACCGTTAGCACATGCTCAAACGTGTATGATGTCTTTCATGCAACTCCAATGTAATACACTGGAATTTTGACAGGGTTTTTGGAATTGTGCCCTAGATGTTATAAAAAGTCAATCAACCCAAAGAGGTTTCTAAGGCACCAATAAAGTCGAGTGTGGTCTTGAATCAAAACTGCTTCTTCTTTCACTCCTGAACCACAGGTTTCTGAACTCAGATGGTCGGCCTCTAAAGCTGAAGCCATGGAAGGGCTCAGTTCCTGCTCCAGAGCAGAACGGCCTGCCCAACGGATATGACGAGGATATCGCCAAGCCGTTCTTCACTGAGATGACTCCAAAAATAAGCATAAGTGAGGATGATGTCAAAACACCCTCAAACTCAACTGTCCAACCTAAAACAGGCCCTGGAATGCATCTTGTTTCAGATTTCCAGAGTCATTCTCAACAACTGGTTCATTATACAACTGCGAGGCTGAGAGATGTTGTGTTTGTGTTTCTCATCCAGAACCAGTCATAAACAAAGATGGGGAGATCTGTACTGTGAAGACTCAGGAGATTCTGGAAGGAAATGTAGTGAGGGAGAGTGCTGAGGGTCACGGAAATGTGGGGTGAGTTTACATATACTTATTTTCAAGCTGCAATGAAGAACCATAAGCACTTCACACCTTAAGGACAAAGATCTTGACGTGTTTGTTCTTGCGTGTGGCTTCACAGGCAATAAAATTGTGATGGAACTTTTAAATCATCATTTATTTGCACCAGAGATTGTGTAATCCTAATTTTTATGCTTATTACTTTGCTTTTTTGTGCTATAGGACAGAGAAGATTGACAAGGTCATCAGGCAATGGGAAGGGTCATTCTTTAAAGGAAATCCCAAGCTGAGGAAGAAATCTGTGTCTCTGCGTTTCAACCTTCATATGGCTGTAGCAGATGAAGGTTGCAGCCAGATAAAACAGGACAGTCTCCCTAACGTGGAGGTCCGTCTGGTCATGAGACGGTCTCGCAGCATACCCACTTTTGCTCCGTGTAATGCTACTACATCACAACTGTGACCTCACAATGCTACTGCATTACAGTTGAGTAGTGGTGACCACGTCTCAATGTCTCGGCGGCTAATAAAAGCAAATCACTTTAGTGACGTCATAGAACTTTTGCCATTTGAAAGAAAAAAGCGTCACATCATCAGTAAAGCGTTCAAAAACAAAAAAACTCAAATAGCTTTTATGATTGTAATGAACTCATGCAGATAAAGCTACTTAAAGAAATTTCAAGGCAAATTAATTTGTAGTTGATTTATTTTACTTCAAACTTGATGAATGGGAGTACGAACGTCTTGCGGTGTTTCAGATTTCGTACATTGTGACTTTAGAATGTGACGCTCTCTGTGGACGCTCTACTGCCACATTATTGATTATTAGCACATATTACGTTACTGAAAACCTATAAAAACTATTGGTTTCTGAAAATGTGTATAGTTTATACATCTATAGAGCTGACTCTTCAGTCTCAGTGAGAAAAGGTCAATGTGGATACAGAGATTTCACATTCAGTGCAGCGTTAAAAAAAGATGCCTTATTGCATTTGACAAATGTTACTGGAACTAATTTAACACTCCAGTGAACGCTAAGGGGGTATGAAGTTGTGGTTCTGCAGGAGACTGTAGTGTGAACCAAAACAAAATATTGCGAAATTTGCAAGTGTAGCAAAAATCTGCAGCCAAAACAAATGATTTATGGTGAAACCGATGTACTGTCCTCCCGATATTGCCTGCATGGATGTGTACAGAATGACTAGCAGTCTATCACTGCAGAGAGAATGAGATGCTAAAAGTGAAATGTTGACTATGATCTTCTCTATTACTTACACTAGCCTATAAAAGTTATATTGCTTTGTATTACGGATGCATATAGTTTACGCTTTATTTAAAGTGCAAATACTGTGTCTTCCAATCAAAAATGATGCAGGATTGTTCAGAAAACTTGAAATGATCATACTTCAACAACCAAAAAAAAAAAGGCTTTTGCATTTCTCATCTACACATTAATCATTTAAACTGATTTATTTACATACCCATTATGTTCTACCTCTGATGGTTGTTGTACTGTAAATACATGGGGTTCTTCCTGATGCAACAAAGAAATGGATACATATGCATATATTTAATTTAAAGTTATATTAAATCGAATTAAATCTATATCCCTGAAATATGAATATATATTAGTTACTGCTTTAGTTTCTTATGTAATGCACAATCTAGTGTCTGTCCAAGGGATTGTAACTCACTCTAAGAAATGTGAAGAGAAATTACTCCATATGCATTGGTAAAAATGGCAATTTCATATGCACTTTAATGGATTAAAATCAAAACATTGCTAACTTTATGATTTTTGTCTGTATTCAACATTTTTTCCCAGATGACTTTTGCTTTTTGTGAAACATAATCTTTTTTTTTTCATAGCTGTGCGGCCTGTGCCCCGCTGAGTGATTTGGCTTATACACTGTATGACAGGTGCTAATAAAGCTATTATTATTATTTCCAGATGAGCTATTTCTGTTATGAGCAAAGATGTCCAAAGACATTTCATTATATAGACCTCAGTGCCTTGAAAACTAGCACACAAAAAACTAGCGTCCCAGTTAAGCCTGGAATAGATTGTAACAGAACAAAAATGACATGAAAGTGAATTTACTCATACAGGTTTCATACAGATAATGGTGTACAAAACTAATTATGTTGCACAATCATTAAAACAAGCAGACTAGCATTGCTTTTTTATGTTTTCTTTGTTAATAATGCCCACAACCCGAGTTCTGTGAGGTTCTCTTGTTCAGTTATAGAAAAATTTTGAGAAATGCAAGGCCAAAGCTTAAAGTTCACCCAAAAATGAAAATTAGCTTGTGTTTTACTTACCCTCAAAGCATCTTAGGTGTATATGACTTTCTTCTTTCAGAAGAATCCAGTAGGAGTTATATTAAAAATTGTCCTGGCTAATCCAAGCTCTATCATTGCAGTCAGCGGGTGTTGCAGACAGTTGAACAGTCCACAAGTCGTCAAATAAAGCTCGCGCATTCATAATAAACGTGCCGCAGACGGCTCCGGGGGATGAATAAAGACCTTCTGTAGCAAATCCATGCGTTTTTGTAAGAAAAATATCCATATTTCAAACGTAATTAACACTTCTCTCTCACTTCCGCTGACTGTCATACACTGAAGCAGTTCCGGCGGATGACGCAGCACGTCGGCGTTGAGTGATTTGTGACGAATGCGGAGAGAGAACAAAACAAAACGCCGGTCACGAATTAGAAGTACAAACCGAAGATTTGCAAAGAAAAATGTCGGAGGATTTCGATATAAACCAAGAGGAGACTGGTTTTCCTTTGCTAAAGTAAGGAAACTTTGATTCCTTTGCTCCTATTAAACAAACTCGCGAGACTAGCATATCTCAGAGGCGCGCGCGCTGCGCATACGTCTGGCCTTCCGCCGGAACGGATCCGCGTATGACAGATAACGGAAGTGAGAGAAAAGTGTTTATTACGTTTGAAATATGGATATTTTTCTTACAAAAACTCATGGATTCGCTACAGAAGGTCTTTATTCACCACCCCGGAGCCGTGTGAAGCACGTTTATTATGAAAGTGCGAGCTTTATTTGACGACTTGTGGACTGTTCAACTGCAACACCCGCTGACTGCAATGATAGAGCTTGGAATAGCCAGGACAATTTTTAATATAAATCCGACTGGATTCATCTGAAAGAAGAAAGTCATATACACCTACCTAGGAAGCTTCGAGGGTGAGTAAAACACAAGCCAATTT